CCGAAGTCATCTACCATAGTAGTTGTCATAATTTCTAGAATCAGACAGTGAACGTGGTACATTCTCAAACATTTCGCCGGCATCATCAGTGTGTGCTGCCATTCTCCGCAGCAAGCTACGAACTCGTCATAGAGACAAATGAACTCAATTCTTCCATCAACGTTCTGCCGAAAACTGTTACACTATCGCTCATCTTCCTGTCCTGGCCTATCTATCTACTCTTTACCCTCTTATCCAACTCCCGCCCTATCATAACTTCTCACTTGTTTACATTCCACTCGTCAAAATGTGTGCCCTTTTGTGTCAAATCTACTGTGGCCTAATCACACTAACTATTCACACAGACCCCCTCTCTTTCGATTGGCTAATCCGACTAGGGCCTACAATCCGGATCCCCTCATGGTTCCGTAGATCCGTTCTTTATCTTTCTGGTTGACCGATTTCACTCGGTTCCAGTCCCAGTGTGCATTTTACTACAGGCGCTATTTTTCAAGGCCCTAGAAGCACGTACACTGCCGCCTAACCTAGCAGAGCCCCTAGGCTCTGATTCCGATGCTTGCAGATATCAGGCATTGCCTTCACATGTCGTATTCTTGATTAAACCCATGTAGCCTAAGCAAACTGTGGACGCCTATCTCTGGTCGCATGCTGAATCTCAAATGGATTTATAGTACATTTTTGTCATAATGCCGAATTTTCATGACGGTTTGCTTAACCGTCTGCTCAGCTCCCTGATTGCCAGGCCCCCAAAGTTGTACTAGATTATTCGAAACGGACATCACTCACTAGAAACGTCTTCACTTGATTGCCGAAATTCCCTGCCCCCCACTTTCCTTATCGCTATCCCTTTTCCTCCGATTAGCGATAGATTCCTGATCCAGACGTCTCCTTTTTGCTGGTCTTGCTCTATTCTTGTTTTACTGGAGTTTGCTTAAGCAGTAGGCAAAGTTAAAGCTAGCTCTGCCTTCCTCTAATCTACTGTCCATTAGATTTGGCGACAAAAGGGCACACATTGTGATGAGTACCATGCAAACAAGTAAGAAGTTATGATAGGGCAGGAGTTAGATAAGAGGGTAAAGAAGAGAAAGATAGGCCAGGACAGAAAGATGAGCGATAGTGTTACCGTTTTCGGCAGAACGCTGATGGAAGGATTGAGTTCCCTTTTTCTCTTTGACGAGTTCGTAACTTGGTGCGGAGAATTGCAGCACACACTGATGATGCCGACTACGATGCCTGTGAAACGTGTCTGATTCTGGGAATTATGACAACTACTATGGCAGACGACTTCGGACTAGGTGCGTTCTGCTGTCTGAGAGGCAATAAAAAACAATGAAACATTCATATGAATTTTCTCAAAAAATCAAAAACATGCCATTAGAAGAGACGGACTTTTTGATAAGTTTCGATGTGGAATCCATGTATTCTGAACCGAAAGGAGGATATCCTGGAAGTACAACGAATCAGGAGGAAGACATTAACAAGACTAATCAACTTGAATATAAGGACAAGCTATTTTACATTCAACGGAAACATCTATGAACAAATATTTGGGCTTTCCATAGAATCGCCGCTCTCACCACTTTTGGCAAAAGTATACATGAACAAAAGAGAAAAGAACTTCAAGATGGAACCGCTACAACCGGCAGTGCTCATGAGGTACCTGGATGATTACTTCGCACTTTGGTCACATGGAAGAGAAAAACTGGAAGAAATTCTGAAGTTTGTAAACCAGATTGAAGAAAGAATTAAATTCACGATGGAAGTAGAGGAAGGTGAGCGGTTACCGTTCATCGATGTTGAAGTGATTCGCTCTAATGGGAAGCTTAGAAAGAAGTCTTATGCTGGGATAATACTCAATTTCCGGTCCCATTACAATTATAGTCTAAAGATCGGAATAATAAAGAGCATGATCATCCGAAGCCTACGCTTAATGAAAGTAGAATTCTGGGACGATAAGTTGAAAAAAATTGACGAGGATATTGCTCGGCAATGGCTACCCTAGCGAATTGAGACAAAGACCAAATATTTGTTCATTGATGCGGCCGTTGAATTTGCAATAGGTAGTTAATACTATTAGGTTGATTAATCGGGTTAGAGACTCTGGACAGATTCGCTCGGTATCCAGGATGCCATTTTATTTTTCCAAGATTTCCAGCAGTGTTGTGAGTACATTTTCCCATGTGATGTTAGTGTACAAGGACTGGGCATCAT